TATAAGCTTGTGTTACATTAGCTGGTACAATATCTCATAAGTTTGGTCTCAACAATTTTATACTTGTACAACGCGTTCGCTCTAAGTTTGCCGGTCTGTGGAATGCGCGTACCCTCCCCCACGTGACAACAAAACTTATAATGTGTCATAGTTTTACCCAAATATCTAACGTACACAATTTTTATTGTTACAATTAAATAAAAAATTTCGAACGTCATACACTCATACCTATCGCCAGCGGCAAACTTAAAACGAGCGGGTAGTATACTTGTAAGCGCTCAGTCTCTTTGATAAAAGCCGCCTCTGAATTAGACGCTATAGTTGTCAACTAGCGACTTTCGTCTCTAACTTCAAAGGATAAAGTCGATATTGTTTACAACGCTATTTTTAAATTTCTGTTTTTATTTTTGCTTTTTGTTTATCAAAGGTGCCGACTCGAGTATTTTCGAGAATATTTGAGATCGAGTCTAGGACTAAGTATAAAAGCGGCGATCGCGCGTTGGCGTCGTCAGTTGATGATTAGCGTTCGGAGCGATAAGTTACTACCTACTTACAAGCTCGCTAGCGAGAAACTGGTGTTCATTGTTTTACTGCCTGCTGTATTCTGTTGTCTCAGTTTTATACATTTCTTCCCTGTAGGTTCTAAATTTAGTCTCTTATACGCAGTAACGATTGTGCATTATTTAAACCCCACTATCCTGACTTGTAACATTATAAATAAAGAAGAATGGAACGTTGGCTTAAAGGTGTTAAACGTGTTCCAACAACATCTTCTAATGACGCTGAATGTTCAAAAGCAATGCGCGCGGAGAATTTAGCAATCACCGATCCAGAAGATGATGCCACGAGTGCCACGACGTCAAGCTCGACGGTTTCAAAGACGAAAAAAAGGAAGTATGATGAATCTTATATCAGTTTCGGATTTGTTGATTCCAACGGCTCACCTCTCTGCATGCTCTGTAGTAAACTGCTTCCTAATAGTTCCATGGCACCTGCCAAATTGCGTCGACATTTAGAAACCGTACACCCCGAGACTAAAGACAAGAATAAAGAATTTTTTGTTCGCAAAAAAGATCAGTTATTAGAAAGTCAAAAAAATATGATGCATGTAACACAAACTACCAACGAAAAGGCCACGGAGGCATCATACTTAGTTAGCTATCGCATTGCACAAGCAGGTGAAGCGCACACTATCGCTGAGAAATTAATAAAACCATGTGTATTAGACATAACAAAATGTATGCTTGATGAAAAATCTGCAAAGCATCTTTCTACTGTTCCGCTATCAAACGATACTGTTTCACGACGAATCCATGATCTGGCAAGCTACGTCAAACAAGAACTAGTTACACGTCTACAAAATACACGATTCGCTTTGCAAATGGACGAGTCGACTGATGTCGCTGGTTTGGCTATCCTGCTGGTTATTGTGAGATATCCATATAAAAGTTCTTTTGAAGAAGACATGCTTATGTGTTCATCGCTGCTTACAAACACTACCGGGGAAGAAATTTTTAATAAAATAAATATATTTTTTGAAGAACATAATCTCAGTTGGAACAATTGCATTGACATTTGTACAGATGGGGCCAAGGCGATGACAGGTAAAACAGCAGGAGCAGTGTCACGAATGAAAAATAAAGCGCCTAATTGTAGTTCCAGTCATTGTATTCTGCATAGACAAGCACTTGCGATGAAGCAAATGCCGTCTAATCTAAAATTAGTTATGGATGAAGCGGTAAAAATAATTAATTTTATCAAATCACGACCACTACAATCCCGATTGTTCTCATTATTGTGTGAAGATTATGGCAGCAAACATAAAACACTGCTGCTCCATACAGAAGTGCGATGGCTGTCTCGGGGAAAAACTTTAACAAGGCTATTTGAACTTAGAGCCGAGTTACAAATGTTTCTTTCAGCAGATACTTCTTTTAATTTGAAGGACCGTTTGTATGATAAAACTTGGTTGTTCCGATTGTCTTTTATGGCGGATATCTTTCAAAAACTTAACGAATTAAATTTATCATTGCAAGGTAAACAGACAACAGTGTTTCAGGCCTATAATAAAATAACTACTTTTAAAAGAAAATTAGATTTTTGGATCATTTGCATTGGTAAGAAAGAAATAGAAAGTTTTACGTTACTCACTGAGTTTGTTAGCGAAAACGACTCAGAAATGTTTGAAGATAATGTGTTTGAAGAATTGGTCCAATATCTCAGTTCGATGCGCGCATCTTTTGAAAAGTATTTTCCCGAAGAACACAATACAAAAATTAAAGTGAACTCCTGGATTCATAATCCTTTTTTACCCAACTTGGAAAAGCCTGAAAACATGTCAAATGAGATATATGAATCTCTTTTAGAAATGTCATCAGACACAAGTATGGAGTCATTGTTCAAAACGACGCCTCTTAATGATTTTTGGTGCAGAATCCAAGATGAATATGCAATGCTTGGCCAAATGGCTCTGGATATTCTTCTCCCGTTCCCAACTACATATTTGTGCGAAACAGGATTCTCTACCTACGCAGCCACGAAAACAAAATATCGCAATAGACTGGACGCCGAAGCTGATATGAGACTCCAACTTTCTTCCATCAAACCTGATATCAAGCAATTGATGAAAAATAAAAAACAGTTTCATACCTCCCACTAGTTAGATTTTTTCTTTTTTAATGTTTTCTATTATTGTCCTTACCAAGTGGTGAAGTAAATAATAATTAGTAACGGATACATTGTACTTTTATTATGCTGATTAATATAGAATACACTTATAAAAATAATTGTTTTATTGTAGGGTTCCATCAAGTATTTTGCTTCCCAAAAGGGTTCCGTCATTTAAAAAGTTTGAGAACCACTGCTTTAAGAAATAAACATTTATTTAATACAATTCGACATGAGTCAACTAGCCTATTAGTGAAACATAGTTATTATATAAATAATAAACATAGTTAGGCTTGTTGATTTATATAAGCAATAACTTAAAACTACTGAATTCCTCTGCTTTGGTATCTAAAGTGGATAAAATATACTTATAACATTATCTTAATTCTTTTGGTTTTCTTTCATTGTTCCCCCGGTGCTCTGAGTGAGCTTAAAAGAGGGCAGTGGAGAAGAATTTAACATCACAACAGATTGACTGTGACGTCACACCAAGAGTTCCATAATAGCGAGCGTTTAAAATGCCCGTGCAAAGTGGCTATTTTTAAATTGCTTTTTAAGATACATTACATTATTTTTTCGAAATTTATATTTTTTATACTATATTGAAGTAAAAATATAAAAATTAATCATGCATATTCCCTGTTGTACAGATCTCTTTTAGAGATAAGCCCACCTTTGCTAAAGATGTATTCGACTTTCTGTTTTGAACTATTTGATACAGAGTATAATAATATGTTTGCTAAAGAAAGCAATCAATTATAATTATGACGTACATTTCAATGTAAAAGGTTTATTACACCTTCTCCCTATTGAATAAACATTGTTTTAATTACAGTTTTGCCTGCCCGTCACCGATTGGCCTCAATGCGACGCTGACAAAACCACTCTTTCAATAGGGGCCGATTATGATCGAATAAATCCAGACGAGTTAGAAGAACTACACCACCAGAACAGAGAGATAGCGCCGCCCAATATAACATTCAACTGTCAGTGCCGTAATCCTAACTATTGGCGTTTGAAGTCCAATCCTGATGACACTACCGGATACAGACATTACCGATGCGGATCATTGCCATTGTGCAGAACAGGCGAGCTATGCGGTCATGTCACCACAGATTTATTTGCGTTATACCAATCATGCTTGTGTCCCAAAAGCCACATCTGTGTGCAAAACGGAGGCATCACATACGAAGCTGCATCCGAACTGTTATACCATGGTACAGTATGGAATGCTTACTGTCGACGTGTCGGAGATGAGAGCAGTTATGAAGATTATTAATGTACCTATTAAATAAATAAAATAGTGGCACGTTCCGCCTGAGCCTGAGCGATAGCGAGAACAAGAGAGGCTAGGGATGAAACGATATGAGTAAATACAAGTAACTACTCGATATTTTTCTTTTGATACCAAGTACTTTTGGCATCGATACAAGTAGTATCGTGAAGTAAGTATTTGTATCGGTACTCCGTTGGTCACTCACTGAGAAGTATAAAAAAAAACTCGATAGGCAGATTATTTACTCTATGGTAAGGTGCTACTGCTCAGTTGGCAGCCTTGCGTATGATTTATATATTCCAATTTATTCAGTCAGTCATTCGTTTATCACGTGGCAAGAGCCGTTATTTTGTTTTCGTTAAATTAAAACTGTAACTGAATTTGTAAATGCAATATCGTTCGTCAAAATTTATCGATACAAGAAAGTATCGATACTTTTCATTCGATACCGAGTCGGCATCGATACTTTATAACCGATACAGTATCGAGTAAAAGTATCGATACCTAGATGGTTTGGTTTCATCCCTAAGAGAGGCACGATCGTCCCAAGCGTCGGCTTGTTCACATTTATCTCTCTTCTCGCCTGACGTCAAGGCTAGGAATAATGCAATTTTTTCATCAATGTTTCTTTATGACGCTATCACGTAAAACTATCGTTCGTAAACCGACTTTACAGACAACCAATTTTTTTACACATAATTACTTAGATCTAAAAACATGAAAAAGGGAAATAGGTAGAATATATAGCCTGAATTAGTAGTTGTACCACAGTTTTTTTTTATTATTATAAATAGGTCAGACAAATGACTCCACCCCATCTGATGTTAAGTGATGGCGGAGTCCAGACGCGAAGATAGCTGGTACGGCAGTTTCCCCTACCACACCAGCCATCCTCACCTGCAAGTGCTTCTTCCCGCCTCTTTTAAATAATCCCGGAAGTTACAGGAGATAAGGAACACGTGAGCGGCCAAAGCATTCCATTTGCGGATCGTGCGACAAAGAAATGAGCCACCAAAGTTTCTTTGTTCTCCTTGGTGTATTATTATAACCTACTCACCTCCATAGGTTGATTCGCAATTTCACTGACTACTGCTTGCACTTGAGCAGAGAACCCGGCGTTGCATAACACGCGGCTGACGAGACCGCCTTGTAAAGCCTCGAATGATGATAATCGTCGGCCGAATAACACCATATCATTTATCTGTAAATACAAAGTAATAACATAAAGCATCTCTTTTATTTGACTCTTACACTTGTTAATAGAACTACTCAGAACAAAACTTTCAAGATCCGATCCGATCGATGGATACTTGTTAGGGATCATCCATAAAGTATGCCACACGTTAAGGGGAGGGAGGGTGTCGACGAAGTGTGACATTGTGTGACAGGGGTCCAAGTATCGTGACGTAACATTTCAAAATCGCATACTTTTGAACTATTAACAAAAACACTTTAAAATATCCAGAACTCTATCTGTATGGGTTTTAATTTGTTTTGTTGGTGTAGTTTCGGAACTAATTGCAGAACTGCTTTTTTAATTTAATAATTTATAGATGCAAAATATGTGACGTCACACTAGGGAAGGGGCTCTCAAAATGTGACATGGCGATCAAAAAACCACGAAACTAGTGTGACGTACTTTATAGATGACCCCATATGTAGGGCTTATGTCAATGTATATGTAGGTATAGTATCCACAAATGCTTAATAACTTCTGTAGTTACGTTAGTTAGTTTCTTTGATAGTTTTATCCTTTTTCTGAGTATATTACAAAGAATGCACTTATATAACTAATTTTCTGGTTCAGACGTAAAAAAATCTCTTATATACACGCGAAACATCACAAAATATTTCATTGTGGACTTAAACACTACAATATAGAAAAAAAACATTAACATTCATCTAGTCCAATCAGAGGCCCAAGCACGAATTTTGACAGCTCCGTAATCGTATCGCATCGTCAGTTTCTATGAAAATTTTTAAAACAAAAAAATAAAACCGACTTCAAAATCAACAATGGAACTAAAAAGTAAAAAATAAATAATAGATATGTGGTTCATGATTTGGAAGTCGGGCGGGTCAAGATTGAAAGACGTATTATTACCGATCTGTTTCGTTTGTAATGTTTCAATTTTGACCCCAGATATTATTTTTTACCTTTTAGTTCCGTTTTCCATTTTAAAGTCGGTTTTTTTCTTGTTATTTTTTTTTTATTTCATCCATTTTAGTGAAAATTACATCGTCCAAGTAAACAATAACACAATAGACAGAGAAATCGGTGAACATGCATAAAAAACATGGTGCGTGCCTTTGAAATTTGATGGTTTATCTCGATTTCCCCAGATTCCACCATCAGATCCTGACTTGCTTCCAATGGGATCAGCTCGGAAGTGCACTCTTTCGAATAAAAAAAGAATTTTGGAAATCGGTCCACAATTGACGGAGAAATCGGTGAACATATATAAAAAAAAACCGTCGAACAGAGAACCTCCTCCTTTTTTTTAAGTCGGTTAAAAACTAAGCAGCGCCTCTACCGGACCTAAGAACGAAACCTGGCTCCTTCCATACAAAATTTGTTGATGACAATAAAAAAAAATCGTGCTTGGGCTGCTATGCTTATTTCGACCTTATCCCCCGCTAGTTCAATGTTAGCCAATGCCTCAGACCAAATAAAAAGTAAAGACGGAGTCTGCTGAACAAAAAAGTGAAGCCGATAAAACTACGTCTCGCCGTGTACAAACACAGTTACACACACACACTTGCAACGAAACTACGCCTTGGCTTCCCAGTCGAGCTATCCCGGCGCGCGGAGTGTGACGTAATAATAAATAACAATATTTATTAGAGAAAATGCCGAATTGTAATCGAGATTAAAATCTAAAAGAGAAATGGATTGCAGTCATTTGTAAGAGTAGAAATGAACCATTGTGGCAATCAGCTTCCCGCAGCGTGGTTTGTTCCGACTCATTTTCAGAGCGACGATTTGTACTACACAACAAAAGGTTTACGTCGTGCAAAACAAAATGCATGTCCAAAGGTATTTTTTTTACTTAACTTAATATGGTTACTTAGGTTAATTTATATTTTAAAGATTCCAATAATTCTTCAGTCGTGCAGACGGTTGAAACACAAAATTACACCAATTTTATTTCACAATATTCACTATGAACGAATTAAAGAATAATTAAAATATGACGCTAACCGCACTCCATGAAATCCCGCAAAAACTCCAAAGGTTAAGCTTTGTTTTTATTATATATTTTTTAACTAAACTTTTATTAGTGTAACAGTTATTAAACTTATAAATCACAGGAACCCCAGATCTCCAAGCGCATGAGCTTTGGCTCACGAGAGGTTGCATCTAGCGCTAGTGTAAAACTAATCTGGACTAGTTTAGAGAATAAGCATTCGATATTTTTTTCTAATATTTTATAACGTTATGAAATAACGTTATTACATTTTTCTAATATTGGGGTATTATAAATGACTATGGTAACACTGGCTAATGCACTACATACATAAAAAACCGGCTTCACTTTTTTGTTCGGCAGACTCCGTCTTTACTTTTTATTTGGTCTGAGGCCAATGCTTGCGGCAATAGGTAGTTAACCGTTTTTGGAAAAAGGTTTTAAATGGTTAATAAATGTTCTATTACACCGAAAAAAAATGTATTGTATTTTTTTGAAACCTAGAAAGCTACAAATCTTTAATTTTAAAATAGAATTTTCATGGACATACAAAAAAGCTGTCGGCCATTTTAGTCTATTTATTGTCTATGCTATGATGTCAACTGTAGTAAATAGACATGGGCGTTTTTGGTTTTGAACACAAACGGATATTTATCGGATTTCAGATTTCAAAATCGATTTTAAAATCCGTTTTTAGATATCCGATTTCAGATGTGCTGAACTTAGCCAATTCACTAGTTTGTGTTATGATTTGGTTTTATTAGCTAACGACAATCACAAACAACTAATTGTAGGAAGCAAGGATACTCGTAGATGTTCGCGATTTTCCTTCATGCTTTAAATCTAGGCTTAGGACTAGCAGAAAAGTTATGTTTACGGTTAAGAGTAAAACTTTTGCGGCGCATTTAAAAATCGGCTTTTATACAATGATTTCTTTATACATTTTTTTTAGTATTTTTATTTGTTATTCTGTTTGTTTTTATTATTTTTCAAACCATTTACAAAATCAAACCTAATTACTTCAGGTTAGCGTCCAAAAATGTATGTTGCTCGACTTTTGATGTTTTTAGACGACATATCTTTTCAGTGATAAATAATCCCGCCTCAGAGAACAGCAATAGATTTCCGTAAACAGCAAATCGAAATCGGAGTTCCGAGCACGAAATCTGACTTCCGAAAACGAAAGCACGAATTTCGAATCCGATTTACATTTGGATACTTGTGGTATTTGGTTTTGGTTCGATTAGATTTCTGAAATCGGATTTTCTTGTTGAGAAATCGTTCGGTATCGATTTGTGTTTGAAATCGGATTTTGGATTCGTTTTGATATATCGGACGCATGCCTAGTAGTAAACAAAAACTCGTAAGCACGTAGAAAATAACTTATCTGAGTTTATAATAAAAAGAACATGATTTCTAATAAATACCACGAAAAATAAAGTACGAGAATATAAAAACACATCCTTGGAAGACTCCAGGAATGTTGTGGATTAAAGTGCCGAAAGAAATTAACCTACGCAACTTTATTACACTTATTCATATGTTGTATCAGTTTTATGCTTATTACTACATTGTAACACTAAATGCACTGTACTTACATAGATGCCTTGTCGTTTCAGAAATCGGGGTTTAGTGCAAAAAATTCACCAACCATCAATGCGTCAATTCTTGGCAGATTTGTGCTTTCTGCTTTCACAAAGCCGGCATCCATAATTAGTTTTGTCAAAAAAATAGTAAATGGAAACTTTTCTAAAGTTAAAAGTGTTTTACGATAAATTTATTCAGACTAAAGAATCCACCCACAATAACACGCGAATGACATTTAGTTGTTTACTGAAAGAGACGTCACAATCATGGCAGATGTGGCGAACAGCGTTTTTAGTGTTTAAAAAATATAGACTAATAAATATTTTTTAAAAATTAAATTTCTACAGCAATCTTCTGATTTTATGAAGTGAAATCGATATATTTAGGTTCCTTAGACCAAATACTTTAAGAAATAAACATTTATTTAATATAATTCGACATGAGTCAACTAGCCTATTGTCGGTGTGACGTGATCAGTAGGCTTATTCGCTAACTGCGTTTGACAGGTGGAAGTGATAATAGGCTATTTGACAGTATGGAAAATAAAGTATCTATTGTTGGCATCAGTACCCTTAGCACGAACCAATATCGAATTCGTAACGTTTGCGAGTCCGAAATGACATTGTAAAATGTGTACTGATTTTTAGTTCTCGTTACGTATTTTCTGGCGCTGCTGTTCAAGTTTCCATACAAAATTTGACATTTCTCACTCGCAAACTATTCGAATTCGATAATGGTTCGTGCTAGGGGTAGAGTATTTAATATGAATATTAGCAGCGATTTTACTATTCTGAGAGAACAAATAATTAATAACTTTTCTAAAAGATCATTACAAAGAAATGCCTTATTTTGTTCTATGATCACGTGACCGAAAACGCCTGTTATTGGTCAAGACTAAAATGACGTCACACGCTAGTAAACTTCCGGCTAAAGTAAAGTGACATTGTTGACATTGAGTGACAGTAGAGGTAAAACATTACGCAGCGACTTGAATTTTTTTTTTAATTTAGGTTTTACCGAATTACATAACAGAATTGAAGATATCCTAACTATTTATAGACTCCATAAACATTAGTAATAACGTGAGATCGTTTTCTAAAACTTGTCAAACACCCTATCACCGAGGTATTTAGTGATCCACTAGTGCTTTGTTATAACGCCACTAAGATACTTGTTCTAAAAAGCATCACCTGGCGAAGATTGTGCCAACGAGTTGTGCGATAAAGCGAAGGTGGCGCCCTCTGCGGCTTAAGACATGTTTACCAAATTATTTTGACCCAATCCTCCACTAGTTCTGCAAGACTAAACGAAACCACTTACCAATGCTTGTGGCAGTTGTCGGTGAGACGTGATAAGAGCGGCTATTCCTGGCGCGGGTGGTGCTGACGGATCGTGCGATAGAGCGAAGGTGGCGCCCTCTGCAGCTAAAGACATGTCTGCCATCGCGACCAGGGCTACGGCAATACCTCCCGCGCACGCGTTGCCTACCGCCACACATAATAACTTGCTATGCTGCCCCACAGCCCACAATAACGATCTATGGAACAGAAGTGGTCTTTAAACCCGATCCGTCTTCTAAGTCTTGGTTTAAACCTAATGTTGTCTCTGTCGTCTTTTCATCAAACAAAAGTGACAGCATCTATTTACTTCAGGTTTAACTTTAGTCTGCATTTTGTAATTAGGAGGCCTAAGAACACATATCTATGAAAGAAAAATAGTCTTTCAAGACCCAAAAATCTGTCAATAAAGTCATGAAAAGAACGTTTGAGGAACTAATGGTTTTGCTTGTACTAGCAACAGTAAATTACTGTCAAATAGTGTAGCTCAGTTGTCACATTAAGGTTATGTTTATTGTGATTTTGTTTTAAAGGTGTTATTGAGATATTTTTTTTTATTTGACAAAAGTATAAAAGACCAGATATAGAATTAATGGGACTGTTTATACTAGTGGTGCGAAGCAGGTCATATTATAAGTTTCTCAGAACTTAAAGACCATATTTGAAGTGGGAAGGTTGTTTTACGAATTTGACGACGTTTACTGTTAGCAACTTGATAACGCAGGAATATTCATTTTAATTAAATTATTTGGCGTCTGAATAATAATATATTCACTATAATAACTATCTTTCTTTTTATTTCCCACCTTTAGTAAGTTCGGCCCTTGAAAGTCAAGCATGACAAATTTTGATAATTTTATTTTAGTTTTATTTCTATGCATTATTCTGTGGGATTTATGAATCTAAAGAAAATCTAACTAGAAAAAGTTGAGTAGAATTTTTTAATTGCAATAAAGTATCAGGCACATTCAGAAAAAAAACATTAATGATGATAAAATAAGACAGAAACTTGAATAATAATGAAATGTATGGAAGTTATTTAAACAATAGTACTTTTTAACATATATCAAAGCATTTAAGTCAATGTATAACAGGGATAACATGTAAGTGATGGCGGCAACCTCCTTTTTTTCATGACTTTATTGACAGACTGTAACATAGTCTTCAAGTTTATTTGCATGTGTGCATCACACTCTTTGAGAATCAATCATCATTTTTACACCCCCCTAAATTATCGTATTTGATTACCATATTTGAAAAGCTAGACTGTCTTTCAAGGTCCTCCTATGTTAGAAATTTACAAACGCCTAGTATACCACCCACTTAGAATTAATTTATTACTTTAGCCTCACCAAAATTATACTATCACATTCTGATATTACAGTATTGTAAAAAGATGCATAGTATTTAAACAATGGATGTTGGATTAAATATGAAACAAGTGATAAACAGTATTTTTTATAAATTTCAATGTTTAAGAATTAAAATTAAATATTAAAATCCTAATCTGCTGAAAAATGCTCTAATGCTAATAATCTATGGATCATCTATGTGCCCTTGTAGGTTTCTAGCACTCACAAGGGGGTGTTATCACCCATATTAAGGAAAACTGCCTTAAGTTATCAGACTGCTTTAGTTTAGTGTATATTTCTGTTTTCTGCACTGTGCACAATGAGTAAATGTTCAATCATAATAAATTAATATCGGTGGTATTTTTTAGGTAGGGCAATGGTATTTTAAGCTGGAGCATTGCCTCATAGTGTTGAATTATACATTTTTTTATTACTCCTATATTTAGGAATACAAGAGCATTACTAAATTAATAATATTATTATTACTATACCTTAGTGATTCAGTGATCTCATTTGCAGCTTTTTGCCTTACTTCCAAATCATTGTTCAATGATGGTCTAAAATCTAACTCTGAACACAATGTTCCACATTCTGATGTTAGTAAAGTGACAGATGTATCCGTTCTCAAATCCACATATGATAAAGCCTCCATAACTTCTTTAACATTCTGAAAATTATAACAATATTATATATGATTAATTTACATACATATAAATATATTCTAGAGTAAACAGTATACTACCATCTAGTTTAAAAAACTATGGGTACTACTATGTAGTAACCAGTAAGTTTCTGAAACTAGTTGGTACACTAGCAACCTATGCTTAATGTGGTTCAAAGTTGCCATGGGAGTAATAACTAATATTTGATGACCTTATGAACTTCTATGACATTCTATATTAAACAACTAAGAATAAACCAACACAGTGCATATCTTATATTAAAAAAAAACTTACCTCTAGACTAAATTTAGTATTTGTATTTTTAATACAAATTTCAGCAATCCTGTGTTCACATTTAACAGTTAGATTTTTGTAATTACCAATCTCGTTTTTGACCTCAGTTTCACTTGATTTAACTTGTTTCTTCAGTGATTTATCAGATTTACCCATATCTTTTTTTCTCTTGTTTAATGCCAAAGACAGCTTAGAGTTCAACTTCTTTTTAATTGACAAACAGTCATCTTTATTAATAATTTCTTTAGCAGGAGTGTGTTTCACATCTTTTGCTTGAGGAGAGCTAGATTCATCTAGAAGTTGCAATTTATTATCCAAGGCTTGATGCAAAACATTTGAATTTTGATTAATACTAGCCTCCATATCACTTAGACGACGGGGGCTCAAACAACTACTTGAATATGAGCTTGATGAATGGCGGCGGTAGATTATAGAATCATCAGCACTGTGGTTTTCAAAGTCTTCACACATTGATGGAGACTGAACTGAGCTACTCAAAGATGTCCTGTGTTTGCCACCTAGTATTTTTTTAGGCTCTCCATCTTCACCTTTGAGCTCTTTTTTCCTTTCTCTAAATTTCATCTCCTTGCTTTCAGGAGTAGTACTCTGTATTTTCTTAATAAATTCTGCCTTGGTTCTCATATTTTTCTTTCCCTTTGGCGCTTCTGGTGTTAACTGGTAAATCATGTTCACAGCACCTTCATCCATGAGAAGTCTATCTACTTCAGATAATCTTTTGTTTTGTTTGCTATTCTTAGAAGAAGGTTTCTTCCATTGCAGTTTAGAAGTGGGAGATTTTGATTTTGCCCTTTGTGCTATTGGTTCTGCTTTAACTTTTTTAGAAGGTGGTTGATCTTTATCAGTTTGTGGTTCCCTACTTTTAGTATGAACTTTACCTTTTGTGAATGTGTCTGGATTATCAGGATCAAATATAACTTTCTTTTTTATAACTCTGCCTAATCTTCTTTGTGGTTGACTATCATCTCCACTCTTATTTAAAATAGATGTCTGTCCATCGCTAGTAACAGAATCAATTGAAGCTCTTTTTTTATCTTTAATAGCATTTGGAGTACTTTCTAGTACCTGCTCGGATTCAATTGATGAAATATCATTGTCATCCAAAGCATCTTCCTCTTCTATTTCATCATCCCAGTCTTTTACCAAAGCATTCACTATATTATCTTCATTACTAATTTCAACCACTTTTTTTGTTTTGTTTTTTTTCTTTGGAATAGGTAACAGCTCTATTTTACGTAGTGGTTTCCTTACTTTCTTAAGTCGAGTTAATTGCTTTAATGCCATTTCTCTATTAATTTCTGTCTCTTTACTCTCAATTATTTCCCTTTCTTTAACTTGGTGTTCACTACAATGAACATCATTACCCTCTAATATATCCAATAATTCTTCTTTATTAAACATTTCTTGTCTGATTGAGCAATTGTTATTTTCTACATTATCAGTCACATCGGAAGAGCACAGAACTTCACTCAACTCAATATTTTGATTCATTTCATTCAATATATTATGTGCAGACTCACTATTTGCACTCATGTCAATTTCATTTGTATCATTACTTTCAACAACCACTTTTGTCTCAAATTGCATATTTTCATTAACAGACTCAGCATTTATAGTAGTTTCAACCACTACCTCTTCAATCCGAATTTCATTTACAACAGACTCTGTCCTCTGGTTCTCTGGCTCCGAAGATGAAATAAGATGTGGTGACCCTAATGTTTTCTCTATATCTGAGGTCATTTTTGCATTTTCTTGCTCATCTGGAGCTGATATATCATCGGCCGAAACACTATTGGAATCTATGCCTTCAACGGTTGTTATTTCTAGCTGTGTTTCCGTAGTGTCTCTTTTTTCCACAGAATTATTTGCAATAGGCTCGGTAATAGTGACAGAGTCACCATTAGCATCTATTTTTTCGGAAGGCAAATCGACATTTTCAACTGTAACGTTGTCGGATTCTGTGACACCGTTTGGTTTCGGATTTTCTTCTGCTTGGGAGTTGGACGTTTGATAGCCCACCTCACTTAATTTTACACTATCCGCATCCGAATGATCTGGAAGTTGTTCTACAGCAGCTTCCATATCTTATAAACTGAAGATTTTCTAACAAAACTGAGTTGTTGCACTACTACGCGAACGATTGATAACCTATTTTTACAAAATAAACGAAATTGAAAATTCATGCAAATTCAATATCTATTGCAGCTTACATCATTGAAAATTATTTTATGAAAAAACGTAGAACATGTAAAGAAATAAATAGGAAACGCTAAAATTATGCTTTGAAACAAATTAGATTGAATTGTGTTATTTTCTAGCGTCTGTCTTGATCTTGAAAGTAGTAGTAGCCACAGACTACTAACTAAGATTATGGTAGTAGCTGTCTGATTCTGTCTGTGGTTTCATTGAGACCATAGACAAATTATAATTATTATTGTTATTCTAGTGGTCCATGGACTTATTATTATTCAAAAATGACACTGATAACAGTAACAATTTATTCTATTTTTGCAAATAAAACTTGAACAGTAATTAGCTCTTTCTAATATAAAACTTCATGGGCGTATAAACGTCAAAACCTCCATCATAGGTGTCCGTCTTGCTAGTGTATTGTACACCGGATCTTTGAGGTTCTTACAAGCTTTTAAAATACGCCGTAATCAGTGCAAAAAGAAAAGTCTTTATTTAGAAAACATTCATGGTGTAAGCTGGCATGACGATCAAGCTAGCGTACACCAGACCGGCTGGCTTATTACATCGATGCTTTTCAGAACAAGTATTTTAGTGGTGTTAATATAAAGCAGTGGTGAATCATTAGATAGCTTGGTGATTATCACTTCCATCTGTCAAAAGCAGTTAGAGAATAGGCCTACAGGCCGTTTTCGAAAACGGCATAATAATAGCTAATAAAGGAACAAGGATAAAGAACAAGACTTTTACCTATTTTGAATAATATTTGGAGCTGCTGTTATAGTAGTGTACACCAAGTTTTGTATTAAGAAAGCGAGCTTTTGTTTTATATATAATTCATATTACGAATCCAGATTCTGATCGAAACTGTGTAAGCCCAGCCTAAATAGTGCGTGAAATTCTGCCTCTGTGAGATAAAGTTTTATAATGAGCTTTACATTTGTAGTATTTATGAAGATAACAAAAAATAAAGCTCACTGTAAAGCTTATTGTATAATCTTTTTTCTAAATTATGAAAAGAAAGGTAACTTCAAAATTATCTCTGAACTCATTTTTCAACTTGACGACTCTGCTGTCAATTATGGCATGATTTTCTAAGCCTAAACTTAAATTTGACAACCGTGTATCCTTGTTATTTTCTGCACATAATGAAAAAAAGAGAAACAGATGTTTAATTAAGTTTAAAAAATCATGCCAGAATCGACACCTCTATATATAATAATAGTGTGAAAAAAAAAACAGCCCCTATTGAATTTCTTGTCGGTTCTTCTCAGTACAAGATTTCGCACCGTAGATTTGCCAACCAATGGCATAGCTTCTCGATCTACACAAGTGATATTTAATTGATTTTGCGTTTACTAAAAGCACAATAGTGAACACATCGTTAGGGGGGAAAAAGTTTTTTAAATGGTACAAAGAAATTGAAACCTAGCAACACTTCTAACCGGACCGGACGGGACGAGACCGGCTGGTCTAACCTAAACCGCTCTGAGTACTACAGTACTCTGAACTAAGGGTACGGCCACAGTGCATGCAGATTCAAATTCAGACTCAGAAAACAAGCGCGAGAAATAAACAGCGTACTTTAAGCAGGGTGGTCATAGTGGCAGCAGGCAACCTGCTTAAACTACACTGTTTATTTCTCGCGATTTTTTTCTGAGTCTGAATCTGAATCTGTGTGCACTGTGGCCGTACCCTAAACCGGCATGTCGCCGCTCTAATTAGGTGGTTTTCCAATTACAGCACTAGAGCGCATAATGCTTAACGTTGAATGTTTCAACTACAGCAACGCTTCGCACAATCGAGCACTCTCGTGATTTTCCAATTACAGAGCATAATGCGACTCAGTGGCGCACAATGCCGAATTATGCTGATGCTTAATTGGAACGTGAATTAGTTTTCAAATGCACCAGCAGAGTGCGCTAAGTTCAGTGTTGAAAAAAAGTCAATGTTTGTACCTTCATCCATATTTATATTTAATTTTTTAACACAGTTTGAATTAACTTTGATTATTTAAAAAAAAATGGGTGCGTGTACTTATGTAGGCGCGTGAGAAGTTATCCTTCTTTCGCATCGTTTAAAATTAGTTTTAAATTGCATGCAAATAATTAATAACAATAAATTAATAAAAAGTCTGGAAAAGGACACAGAAGACAAAAGGAAACTAGAAACATGTGGATAAATATTATAAACATGAATACCTATAACTGTTACTTTATTACAAAAATAAAGATGTGGTTTTTGGTTCTACTACACCAATGGTCAAGAGATGGCGCTGTAGTCTCCTGAATCGCGCTTTGGTTCCGTTGTTCCAGATTAATAAATACTTTTGATATTATAAATATGAATACCTATAACTGTTACTTTATTACAAAAAATAAAGATGTGGTTTTTGGTTCTACTACACCAATGGTCAAGAGATGGCGCTGTAGCCTCCTGAATCGCGCTTTGGTTCCGTTGTTCCAGATTAATAAATACTTTTGATAGGCCTTCACAATGCAGTCGTTAGCACCCACTAAATAGAGATTCTATTTCTATTTTGTTGGTAGATTTTCTTAATGTGCGGTAAACACAAAAGTAACAGCATGAAGTAACTTCATGCTGTTAAAATTTTGTGTTACAGTGCTGCGCGCGCATCTTAAAATTTCACTCTCATCATTTTTTCATAACGCGCCTAAAGAAGTATAACTTCAAAAACTATAATGAAACGAAAGTTTTAATAAGTTTTCAACAATAAATAATATTACTACTAATATAAATAAAACATTTCGATCAAGGCCAACTTAAAGAAACTGTCTCTGAGTTGGTACGATTGCACGCATCACACGAAAGCATTACTTTTGAGAGTGCTCGATTGTGCGAAGCGTTGCTGTAGTTGAAACACTCAACGTTAAGCATTATGCCGCATAATGCGCTACCAATGTCTGTGGCATAGTTTCTAGCTAGCATAGATAAAATTACAGATTGTCTAGTCTAACTAGCATTCTCTTTGCTAGCTTGTCTATGGTTGTTTTGATCCAAAAACTAGTGATTGTCATGCGCAAGGTAACTCCGGAACAGGAATGAAGTTACTCTATATACTTCCAAAGATATATAACCAGTTAGTTTAACCTTGTCCGCTTAATATATCCTGCCTACTCAATCCTTATGAAATCATGAGGTATATCCAGCTAACATTTCACTTAACATTTATACACGTCTGTTTATTAAATCCGGATTAATAGGACTTGTTTCCTCTTGTTTCATCTTTACACAAATCTTTTGATTTTCCTTCATAGGTTGACTGTCAAGCTTAGGACTGTCAATTAAATATTTAACGTTAAATTATGCCTATTTTTTTTTGACGTGACAACGTCTTAAATTAGGTTGCGGCTGGGAGTCACTTATGAAAAAGTGTAACGCTCGGTAACGTTACGATGAGTCTCTCGTGTTAAGTTTAAGTTTACATGTACAATGTTTTAGTAAACAAAATATATTTCTATAGTTAAAATTTGTGCAATTCTTATTTTCATTCAATTCCTTGTTCCTATTGTGCAATTTAATTATATTCATATCAATAAATATTCTACCGAGAAAAAGACGTTGTCACGTAAAATCTTCGCCCGTAAAACCGACTTTACAGGCAACCATTTTTTTTTTTTTTACTAGAATAAATTCAGCTTTACGTACTCATGTCTGTTCTGTAGCTAGAGAGTCGGTGATAGGTCAAATGAATTTGCAAGTTGCTTCATGTGATTGTATATACTGGATATGCTAAGAAATTTTAAATGGAATGATTGGTTATATATCCTAGTTTGGATATACTTCCTGGATATAAGTGCATATATACACAAGTCTACTAATAATAGTAATCTGTATGTAAGAACTAGAATACAGAGCCGTAAAACATATTAATGAAAAAAACTAAAGACCAGGCTGTATGGGCATTGTTCACTTTGTCTTCTTTAAAACGGAATAATTTAAAAAACTGGAATTCTTAGATCTTTGGTTGCAGCATTGAAGACATTTCCGGCATTAATTAATAAAAATGAATATTCTTCCAAAAAAAAGGTAAGTAATTAAAGTTAAAGTTCTAAAATAATCAATTATTAGCAAAATAGTTGAAATTTAAACTAAGCAGGTACTTTTCAAACTTTTCTTTTCCAGGTGGCACGTAAGAACGAAGGAAAACATTGCTAGAGTTAGAAAAGATGAAGCAGAGGCTGCTGAAAAACAAAGACAGGAAAAACTTCGTATTGAAACGGCAGACCGTGAAGCCAGACTTAACATTTTAAAGCAGAACAGCAAAATAAAATTACACGAATTGGGTATTGATATAAAAACATCCAGCAATGATGCAGATGTTCATTCTCAACATATTAATTTATTTTTAGATATAGAACATTCTGTTAATTTCAAAAATAAAGAACATGAAAAGGAAATCAAAGAAAAACAAGAAGAATATGAGAAAAAAATTGGTTATTTGACATACCTTGGCCAAAATACAAATGAAATTCTCAAAAAGAAGAATTGGTATGAAGTAGCTCCTAGTGCTAGAATTGCAGAATCAAACAATATTAAAGATACATATGAAAAATTAGTCCTTAAAGATGTTGATGGAAAGCCTAAGCAAAGATGTTCAGATGTTCTTAATGGTGAATGTGATTGGAAATCAAAACAAAAACATGACCCAATAAACAAATTTAGAAAATATTGTGGAGAAACATCTGGCAAAGATAAAAATAACAAAAATGAAGAGAAAAATAACAGAAGAAAAGATGTATCAAGTAAAGAGGATAAAAATAAAAAGTTACAAAAACTTAGAGAGGCCCGTCTTAAAAGAGAGCAGGAAGAAAAATATAAGACAGATGTATTCCTAAGTGGGTTTAGTAAATCAACAACCACCTGTGCAACTGAAACCAAAGCTCAGGCAACTAAAATTAAACCAAAATACAATTCCCAGTTTAATCCAGAACTTGCCAGACAAAATTACAAATAATTAAAAATACCTGAGAATTATGTTTATAAATGTATTGTTATTTAAGTAAAAAATAATTTAGGTCGTTGTTTAGCTACATGTTAGATTATGAATTTATATATATTGTATCACAATATTCTAATATCTTCATTTTTGTACAGGATTTGAAAGCAATACTAGCGGTAGTTTGTCTTCAATTTTATCAAAAGAATAATTAAATGTTTCACAGAACAATTCCAGAATTCTCACAGTGAAGCCACCATCACTGACCGTTTCCGAAAGCTTAGTTCTGAAAAACAAAATAATAAGTGTTATGTTAGTGCAAACTTAGGGTAGAAAATTATTGTGATCAAATGAAAGTGGTTTGTTATCCATGTCAGTTTAGATATTGCGGAAGGTATATTTGATTAAATTATATTTACAGGACAGTTAAGCTTAAATGTTTTATATTAGAGTCACCTGTTTAGGGTTGTTATTTTAGAATAGGCACATATGAAATCAATAAATGTGTCCATGTAAGTAGTTTTTGTTTGTCTCAACAATGTATAAATGCCAACCAATAATGGATATCCGTCTATGTTTTCTCCCATCTTTTTTGTAATTATATCACCTGTAAAGAAACATAGAGCATCTTTTTGTAATCAACATTTAAAATGATAACAGAAACGTTTATATTATACCTAGTATACATAATATTGTATCACTTGTTGAGTAATATATTGTACATACCTACTCATATATATATTTTTTATATTTAGAAGGCCAATTAAAATCAAATTACTTCATCTAACGTAAAGTGTAAGTGGAATCAAGTATGTTGGCCCAGCAGCACCACAACCTCCCCGTTGCCATGTCAATTTTATAAGCATATTCAGTTTAGACCATGGGTACAAACCAAATAACTGTGTGCCCCAGAGAACATAAATATCAAGAATAAGATTTGCAAGGGCAACCTCGTAGGCGGGCTAACCACTCACTTAAAGGAACCGGGACTCTCGGAACTTTCGGGAATTTCGTTTCGCTTCCGTATACTGAAGACACACACAGGTAAAAGATTTTTGTCTTTAATTTTTCATAATTACCCGCTGCGCATCTGTGCACGATTCAATGAGAGATACCGTATACGTAATGGATCAACACCTTCGAATGTAGTGTTTCCAAAAACTGAAGTGGGCACTATATATTTTGATCTTATATATATTCATATCGCTTACGAAAGCACTAATAATATCTTAGAGTAATATGTCCAGATTTTCCAAGGTCTCAGTCATAAGAACTAAATCATTTTCGAAAGGCATATAAGATGATGTTGATGCCAAATCCTTTATATTCCAGAAGCTTGAAAATATCCTTCAACGCAGCAACCAACAGTCTCGGGATGTTTGATCTCCCTATTATTCAAGCGTCGTTGCAGTTGGATAGGATTAGAACTCTGACATAGTGTCGCTTTCGTAAAAATACCTTAACACCGCGACATGCCCAGATTTTAAACGAGCCGATGGTTTTCTCAAAGTCCACAAACGCCAGGCAATCGAACAGATTATACTCTAGTATCTTTTTATTCTAGTAAAAATTTGTTTAGAATTAAACATTTAGCAGTTAAATGCTTAAAAAATGTATTTAGTTCATAATCTTATTCTTTTTTGTATAGGCTGCCGCTGAGTGTGGTCTACGGTAAGGTACTAAAGCCTTTTTGAAACTGGCTTGTTCGGGGCTAGGATGCCTACAAACCTGTGCACGAGACGATTCGTCATGGCTCTCCAGAACAACACAAACATGGCTCAGAATCGGCATTTAGTAGATAGATCCTCAAGTCTTAAAATTGGCGTAAAAAACTGATCAATATTGTAGAAACAGTAACGACATTTACTTTAACTCTGTCGTTACAATGACGTGCGTGTCCTAGTGTCCAGCTATGATATTAAAGGGCAATAATATAAAAATATAAACTATTAAATCAAATAAATAAAGTAGCATAGAACAGTCTTATTTCAGCTGGTAGCACCTGTTCACGAGTATTACGTGAAAACCAGCTCTTGCTTCTGTCAACCATTTTTGAGGAAACTGAAAAAGAGAGGATGTGATATCCTAAGTACCAATTAAATATTAGTTGTAAGGCGGCATACTTACTTTAACTACGGCGTTGTAGACAATATAAACTGTCTTACTCTATTTAATCGTTAAATTACCCTACTGTCATGCTCGTGAACGGGTGCTGCCAGTGGAGACGAATCTGCACTGTACTATTTTGCTGTTCATAATTTAGTACTCCAAACTTACAAATTATTAACGTGTTCAATCTAATACATACCAGTTGTCAGGCAAACCTGCAGTTTTGCTAACTGTGATATTAAAAGCAATCCTAAAAGTTGGCCCATTTCTATGTATAGCAGATCTTGAGGCATTTTCAAATATATTTTCTCAAAAGGTTCATTGATACCACATCTAACAAGGTGTTCTTCAAAGAGTTCTATTAGTTTTGTTGAAATATTACACTGTTTATCAGGTTCTATGGAACACTGTTTTAATTCATTGATCAGAGCACTGTAATAAGAAAACATTTAAGAATATATAATACAAGTCAAGAGACACTTAATAACAAGTTAAATGTTGTAACCACGTATATATACACTCGGCGTCAAATAAATCGCACCTCCGCGAAAATAACTTTCAAGTGTTATCAACCTTTAACACGCGCAAGTACCCCCACCAATAAAAAGCCCATTAGTAACACTAGGTTTTAGGTAAGTTTTAAGCAAATTTTTCAATTGTTTTTTGTGTAATTAAGCTTATTTTAATTAAGGCTTAATTAAGGATTTTTATTGTTTCGTAAACTATTATTTTTGCAATATTCCAAATAAATAAAAAATAATTGAATTGTTTTTTTTTTAAGTTTATTTAATGGGCTTTCAAATTGTGGTGAAGTGTAAATCACGTCCTCTAATTACGTGTTGATAACACTTCCCTGACAACCGGGGTGTAAGGGGTTCTTAATATACCTGCAAGAACCCAAGCCAACCTCACCTTCACGTGGTGCACCCTGTTGACCAACAGACGAGGCTCTGGCAAACCGACCGATGGCGGTATAACCATCCAACGACGTAGGGGAGGAAAATCTCAGTGAAATAACCTACGTTCTGCGATCGCCAACCCGCCTGCCCAGCGTGGCGATTATGGGCAATACCTTGAATGCACACAAACAAAGAGCCACGGCCCCCAGTTCCCGGCAGCCCCGCTATTCCTGGTCACGGTGGCGACCACGGTAACGGCGGCGCGGGGGGTGCGAAGAATCTCCGGCCTACGAGAGGCCACCACAATAGACTGACCCTGGCGACGTACAACGGACGCACGCTACGGCTTGACTCGCATCTGGCGCAACTCGAGGTGGAACTTGGGAAGATTAGGTGGTTTTTTTAGGGTTAAGTGAAGTCCGAAAAGAGGGGGAGGACACCATAACGCTCGAATCGGGCCACCTAATGTACTTCCGCGGGGGAGACCAACAGTCCCAAGGTGGCGTTGGGTTTTTGGTGAATAAGTCCCTTGCCGATAACGTTGTGGATATGTCCAGCGTGTCGAACAGGGTAGTGTACCTTATTATAAAGCTCACCGAGAGGTATAGCCTCAAGGTGGTGCAAGTATACGTACCGACCTCGACACACTCGGACGACGAAGTGGAGGATATGTTCGATGATATATCGAGGGCCCTCCACTCCACTACTAAGACCCACTTCAACGTTGTTATGGGGGACTTCAACGCTAAAGTGGGAGTACAGAATTGCAGCGAATCGGTAGTAGGATCCCGTGGATTTGGAAGCAGAAATCATAGAGGGCAAATGCTCGTCAACTTCCTGGAACGGGAGGGGCTCTTCTTGATGAACTCTTTCTTCAAGAAACAGCCCCAAAGGAAGTGGACGTGGCGAAGCCCCGACACTATGACTAAAAATGAGATCGATTTCATCATGACGGACAAGAGGTACATATTCAGAGACGTCTCAGTGATCAACAGGTTCAATACCGGTAGTGATCACCGACTCGTCCGGGGCTCTTTGAATATCAACTTTAAGGCCGAGCGCGTCCGTTTGATGAAATCCAGGCTCCAACCTACTCTGCTCCAATCTATAACAGGGTCTGAAACGTTCCAGTCAAATCTGGAGAACCGATTTGCTGCCGTGGAAACCACAACAGACGTAAACCAAAACCTCGAAAATGTGGTTCGGATCCTCAGGGAAGAGGGGACGAGATTATGTGCAAAGCAGCGTAAGGGCAGGAAGTCAAAGCTTTCGGAAGAGACTTTAGGGCTAATGAAGGAACGACGTGAAAATCCACCCGTCACTTCGTCGGCAAAGCGGACTCTAAACCAAGAGATCAGTAAGCACGTACGACACGACCTCCGGTGCTCCAATACTCTCTCGATCGAGAGAGCGATCGAGCAGAATCGAGGATCCAAAGTGTTCGTACAATCTCTTGGAAGAAGCCATCTCACGAAGTTGACCACAGCAAGTGGGGAAGTTATTGCTTCAAAGCCGGCAGTCCTTTCGGAAGTGGAAGACTTCTACAGCCAGTTGTACGCATCACATGCATCTCGACCCGATCCCGGAAATGAGGATTCTAGAGCCACATTAACACGCCACTTCACCGAAGACCTGCCAGAAGTCAGTATTGGCGAAATCGAAATTGCTCTTGGACAGCTTAAAAATGGAAAAGCCCCTGGAGAGGATGGTGTTTCAACAGAACTCTTAAAGGCTGGAGGTAAACCCGTACTGAGGGAGCTCCAAAAGCTTTTCAACACTGTCCTGTTCGAAGGGAGAACTCCGGAGGCGTGGAGTAGGAGTGTGGTTGTCTTGTTCTTTAAAAAGGGGGACAAGACCCAACTTAAGAACTATCGACCCATATCCCTTCTAAGCCACGTCTATAAGCTGTTCTCAAGAGTGATCGCGAACCGTCTTGCGCGAAGACTTGATGACTTCCAACCACCGGAACAGGCTGGGTTTTGGAGCGGATACGGCACCATAGACCACATTCACACAGTGCGGCAGATTATACAGAAGACTGAAGAGAACAATCAGCCCCTGTGCCTAGCATTTGTAGACTATGAGAAGGCCTTTGACTCGATTGAAATCTGGTCTGTTCTGGAGTCCCTGCAGCGTTGCCAAGTCGACTGGCGATACATCCAAGTGATTAGATGTCTGTACGAAGCCGCCACCATGTCTGTCCAAGTACAGAATCAGCAAACAAGTCCCATACCATTGCATCGTGGAGTGAGACAAGGGGACGTTATTTCCCCGAAATTGTTCACTAATGCAATGGAGGATATGTTCAAGACGCTGAACTGGAAAGGACGTGGCATCAACATAAATGGCGAACGCATCTCTCACTTGCGATTTGCAGACGACATCGTCATCATGGCAGAAACCCTGCAGGACCTACAACAGATGCTGAATGACCTGGCTGACTCTTCTATACGCATCGGCCTACGGATGAACTTGGATAAAACCAAGGTCATGTTCAATGAACATGTTCTACCGGAACCGATTGCAATACACGGTGCCGTTCTCGAAGTTGTTCAAAAATATGTGTACCTTGGGCAGACATTGCAGTTAGGTAGAAACAACTTTGAGGACGAGGTGAATAGAAGAATTCAGCTAGGTAGGGCAGCGTTTAGGAAGTTACGTCAAGTCCTGACATCGTCGATCCCACAGTGTCTAAAGACGAAAGAAAAGGGGACGTTATTTCCCCGAAATATATTCAAGACGCTGAACTGGAAAGCACGTGGCATCAACATAAATGGCGAACGCATCTCTCACTTGCGATTTGCAGACGACATCGTCATCATGGCAAAAACCATCCAGGACCTACAAAAAATGCTGAATGACCTGGCTGACTCTTCTATACACATCGGCCTACGGATGAACTTGGATAAAACCAAGGTCATGTTCAACTCGAAGCCGTTCAAAAATATGTATACCTCGGGCAGTCATTGCAATTAGGTAGAAACAACTTTGAGGTAGAGGTGAATAGAAGAATTCAGCTAGGTTGGGCAGCGTTTGGGAAGCTACGTCAAATCCTGACATCGTCGATCCCACAGTGCCTAAAGACGAAAAGTCTTCAATCAGTGCGTCCTACCTGTGATGACATACGGAGCCGAGACGTGGACACTGACGGTACGGCTGGTCCTCAGGTTCAAAGTCGCTCAACGCGCTATGGAAAGGGCTATGCTCGGCGTTTCTCTGAAGGATCGCATCAGAAATGAGGTAATCCGGCAGAGAACCAGAGTTATCGACATAGCCCACCGGATTAGCAAGTTGAAGTGGCAGTGGGCTGGCCATATTTGTCGAAGAACCGATAACCGTTGGGGTAGACGAGTTCTGGAGTGGAGACCGCGTCTAGGCAAACGTAGTGTAGGACGTCCTCAGGCGCGATGGAGTGACGATTTGCGCAAGGTGGCTGGCAGGAGCTGGATGCGAGTAGCCCAAGATCGATCTAAGTGGCGTGCATTTGGAGAGGCCTATGTAGAGCAGTGGACTAAGATAGGCTGTTGATGAACACTTCCCTGATACGATTAGATAGATATCTAAGCCTAAGCACGTCGTATACTTATTGTAAATAGTATATAAGATATAGATTAAGTTAATAAAATGTTGATTCCACACTGAACGCTCGTCGTGATTTCTCCCGTGAGTCACCCACACCCCATCACCACATGGCGACCGTGACGTAGAAGATTGTGCTGCATGGGACGGGGTCCATTATGTGAGTTTTTGAAAATTTCAATCGACCATGGCAGCATACTTCTGAGCGCAAAAACAGAAGGGTTCGCAGAACTGAAGATGATTATTGATTTACGGCAATCTGCAATCAAATTACCTACGCACTCGGTTCCTCGGTTTCACGTATATATAGGGTGAAATTGAATGTTTTAATGAAACTTCGTGAGATTGTTGGGTTACGTGTATAGAGTATGCCTGATTTTTTTTCGGTTTTTTTTTTTTTCGTTTTTTATTTTTTTTAATTGTGCATTTTTATGTCCTTTCCTCTTTTTGAGTAATAATTATTTTTAAACACGTATTCATAGTATGTGAAATATAACAAATAAATAAGCACTACTAAAATAAACGAATAAAATAGTGGATTAGGCCAGGCGAGGCCGACGGATGCAGGGGGCAACGATCGCGCACAGCTGACGCGGCGCGTATCTACTGTACAGTACAGTAAAATCGTCAAAGGCATTTAATACGGAATAGATCGCTCTCAATTCAGAGACTACGACCTTGAGATACTGTGTTCATACAAAACAGCATCTCAAGATCGCTGTCAGAGTTGAGAGCGTTCTATTCATACGGGCCTTAGATGCCATATTACAATAACAGATTTATTTAAATAAAGAACAAGTGTTATCTTCTCATTAGCAGAGAAAAATACCTAAAAAGTTAATAGTAATTTATAACTAGGTATTAGACAGTACTTACGAGACCGGCGATGTAGGTAGGTACAACGAGGAACGAGGAACATATTCATTTTTTTCACTAGAACTTTTTATCAAATCA